GCATGTCCTGGCAGGAGTAAGGCATGTCCTGGCAGGGTTAGGACATGTGGCTATGACAGCTCGGATGAGCAGAAGTCCCGAGCAAGATTAAGTCGGGAAGTTGAGCTGGATCTGACGAGCGCTTTGCAATGAGATTGCATTCCTGGTGTCCAAAAAAATGTAAAGGTCAGCAACTTTGTGAAATGCCACTCGAAAAACTTGCGATGTTTGTTCACTTTTTGGACACCGGTGATTTTTTCCCAGGAATAAGCCTATAGGTGACATATATAAGCCATATACGGTGACAGGAATAAGCCATATACGGTGACAGGCAGGATCAATTAGTAATGCAGTAGAGACATTGTCGTCAACCTGGAATTATTGAGCAAAAATGGCGGCTGTTTTGACGAGTGTTACGATTTTCTGTTATACAGACAATATAGATTAAAATTTTTGTTTGTGTACTGACTCTGACTCAAAATTTGGCCCAAGCAATATTAACATGACACGTGTGCGGAAAAAAGATTATTTCGCACATGGGCTGGTTGAAGTTATATCATTTTTTCTCATAAACTTTTATTCAATGCACAAGTTAAATGTTTATTTTTTGCCCAGGTTAAAAGTTCACCAGGTTTGACCTTATTCTGTCAGTAATAGACGCAGGGATTTCCTGTAAACCTTGCAGTATTTTTCTAAATTAAAACATTAACGTAATTTGAAGGCAATGATATATGAAATATATTATAAGATAAAACAATCATTCAATATAACAATAATAGTTCTTAAAGTTGCTGTGTAGGTACAAAAAAAATACTCAAAGAAATATAAATTTGTGTTATGAATTGAACATTGTCGTAACTACTTCCCGGTAGAAAACTAAAAACCTGTTTATAAAATATATGTACTAAAAAATAAGTAACAAGTTTTTATCGTCAAAACTGTCATAACATCTCAAGCAACATCATAAAAAAGGCAAACTCTGATTGAAAATTTGCTAAAAATTTTATTTTTAATCGTGTTGTGGCCGACTTCATTTTTCGTTGAACACATTAGTTGTTGATTCAACACGGACTGATGTTAATAATAATAAAAATTTTGTGCACTTATATTAAGATATCAAAAAAAGGTCGATTTTTTAGGAGCCACAAACTCTTTGATTGGCATTAATAAGTGAGCAATTTTTGTAATGGGATAAAAATTAAAGAAAAACGTTCGAAAAAGGAGAAACCATTTTTTTCGAAATTTGTTCATGATTTGCTGCTGGGCGCTAATGAGGGAAATCAACACCACTAATGCCGAGCGCTTGAATGCAGTCTGCGTTGGCGCTAATTAACACTGGCACGAGTAGATAAATTTGTGCGCCCGCGCTCACGGCGCTAGAGTTGGATATGATTAAACAGGGATTTTAAAATGAATATTTTTTTATATAGAGAGAGACTTTTCCTATCGTCTCATATCTTTTAAAGTTGGGTGAATCGGAGTGATTACTCCACCAAATTTACGTTACGTTCAAGTTCAGGTTCAAGATACCGGTATTCATTACTTATCGTTTTGTCAGGCGGTTGCCGAGTGGCATTTGATTTGGCACGTGAATAAGGTTCTCTTTTTGGAAGCGTTACGGCAAAGAAAATACAAAGTTCGTTGTACAACTCGTGGCCCTCTCGCATTGTCTCACGGCTGAGTCGCAGCCGTAGTGTTGATGTTGATATTCTTGACGTGCTCACCGAGCTCTTGGCTGCTTCGATAAGTCCAGGTTTCTCGCGACCGTCAATGTTCGAAAACGACAAACCGCCGGCCTCACGGCCGCGGCCGTTGCAGACTGTGCTCGTGACCGTGACTTTCGTAGAACCAACCCTTGGCGCGAATTTTAAGGTCCTTATATACGCTAGTGTCGCGCACTGTTAAGCCTAACCCTCGAAGTAACGCCACATTCCTATAATGGAATTTCCCTCGCCAACGTTCGATGCTTCCCACGGTCTCACAACAACTGCGCCGCATTCTTAGCATTCTTAACATCTATGCATAATACATGTTCAATATTACCTACTGTCAATATTACCTACTTTATTCAGATACCGCTATCTACTAGTCTACAGTTATCTACCGCTAGAGTTGGATACCGGAGTAGCGCTAGAGTTGGATACCGCCGCCGCTACTCCGTCACTGCAGCCTCTCATGCATGGTTTCGATTCACGAATATGGGGCACGAAATGTTACTGCGACTACGTAAAAAATTATTATATGCGAGGTTATTACAGTATAATTTTCAATGATGATTGAAATTTTGATTGCGTGCAAAATTTCAAAATGCTTTAACTTAAAACTGTTGTGACATTTTTGGTAGTATAGTTTTTGGGGCCCTTAATCCTAGAATTTTACTTATGTTACCGAATTTGGCACGAAAAATAAAGTTTCATACATTACTTAATTTCACCGAACAATTTAGTTTTTTTCATTCAGAAGTATTTCTTAAAAATTCTGTATGAATTGAATATTGAATTGAGTTATTTCATAAATACCTGTAATAACATTAAATAGAAGGCAATATTATAAGCAGCAAATAAGCACTTTTATAATCATGATATTTCGCTAATTATTGGATCCGGTGCAGTTACTTTTGTTTATGAAAACCCCATAGTTAGTGCTCTAGTTGGATTCTAATTGGTGTTCTGTTAGCACTCTAATTGGATACGTACCACTTGCATTGTCCGGTGAATCGTAGAAAAAACTCAAGTTAACTTACAAGTAGACACTCTAAAATTGCGACTCACCAATAAAGTTTATCTAAACTAAGACACACTAAAAGTGTGGCTCAGTAATAAAGTGGCTTGCTATAGAAGAGAGACACCCAGAGCAGTTCACTCGAAACTTTTGCAAGGAAGAGCTCAATGCCGAGCAAGTTTCCAGCTGCCAGACTTTGCAGCAGTCAAGTGTTCGATCCCAATAGCGTAGATTTAGACTGTGAATTGCGATAGATGGAAAATTTGTGCTACATTTGTCATATTTCACAAACAAGTTTCTGCGAAGCACACAACTGTGGGAGTCGTTAAATTCATTTGAAAGGAATTCCAAACGCTTAAATTCAACTGGTAGACCCTGAGCAGTGAGCATACCAGCGATTGTTCAAGGAATGTTAGAGAAGTCAGAGTGTAAAATGAATCAGATCCTAAAAGTTTTTTTTTTCTGGTAATGAACCAATGAAAGAGAAATGAAATCAAATAGGATGTGTTTGTAATACGCTGAAGTCAATAGAAACTTCATCTAATTAAAATTCGTGAAATAAAAGTGCGTATTCGTGAAATAAGATTCGTGAAATCAGCCTTAGGCCGAGTCGAGGCTGACGTTTGTAGGGTAACTTTAAATTATGAATAAATTTAATGAACATTCGGTGAAAAACGTAACGTGTTACTGATCAACGCAGGTTGAAGTGTTACCACTATTTCTCTAGGAACATGCAAATTGAAAAGTCATAATAATAATAATAAAAATATTATTACCAATAATACTAATAATGATAAAAACAATAATAATGATAATAATAACAATAAAATGATAATAATTACGGATATATTGGCTGCGCAATAGATAGAAGAATTTATTTAGTGTAGCGTAATATTACGGTACATCTTCAGCAGAATAATTCTGTGACGAACGAAGAATACTTATAATTCTGAATGATAGTTCAGTTCAATTCAGTTAATTCAGTTCAGTTAGTCTGATGCATGAGCTAGGAATGAATAAGCTAAGAGAAAAAATAGCATATCGTAATATTTGAAAATAAAATGGATTTAAAGTGCGGTAGATTTGGATTGAAAAAAATAGAGCTCTGGAATCATTCGTATCGTGGAAATAATCTGCTTCAGCTAATAAAGAAATGTAACGAAATGTAAAATAAAAATAAAGAAATGTAAAGAAATAATCTGCTTCAGCAAATAAGGAAAAGGTAGAAGTTATTTGTTTCTCGGAAAGTTCGCTTTTAGTTCTTTGCAAGATCGAATTTGTTTCCCACCTTAATTTTTATTGGTATTTCTTCAACGGGTATAATAATATTCTGGTATTAAAAAACAATTTAGTGCAATTAGTTATGTTTTACCACCTCCAGATTTAGTAAATGAATTTATTTTAAACATATTATTATACCATAGTATTATTATAATTGATACTTTTATAAATTTGAATTTGTTATAAATATTTTGCGTAGCAAATGCCTAATTTAATCAGGAATGGTTGTTCATCTTCTGAAATTGGTCAATTTGTTGTATCTTGAACTCAATTTGCTACGCGAGAACATTCCTGCTAGTCTATTATTGATAAAAAATTCAATTGCAGGATTTAGAATCCCGTTCAATTCTAAGTTAAAATCCGCCACTCATTTTCGTACCCACATATCCACGAGGGCAAAGCTAATAACTTGAAGCCTCTGCTTTGTACTAAAATTAACAAAATTGTGATAAATTGATAGCACGAGGGGAGCGTCAGGTTAAAAATTTGATACATTCGAACACGAGTTTCTGGCGCGAAATTAAAAAGTGATATTCTAAAAAGAATTGTTCGAGACCACCCGAAACTGAGGGCACTCTTCGCCTGCAGAATGAATTTTTTTTGTTCTGCTGCTGCAGAAAATTTTATTTTAATAGACACGGCTCCGAATTTAAATTTAGATCCTGGTTCTACGACTTCTTTTTCATGCATGAGACTGGCTGTGGAAGAAAGAATTCCCCCGAGTTTGAATTTTAATTTTATGATTTCGGCCGCGACGGCCGCCAGTGATGGAAGTAAAGCTGAGGAACTTGTACGAGCGCCTGCAGCAGTTTTGTTCTCAGGGACAATAAACACTGGCGACGAGATGACGAAGGTGTACGGACGGACTCAATGCATCATTCTTGATGATCTTCAGTATAAAAAGTTTTATCTAATACATGTCATTACTAATAATACAAAGATTAGACAGAACACTTAATTACTGAAGCTCGTTAATATAACGAGTTTTATCTAACACGTCATTAACGACCCACCGTCAGCTCCTCCTGCCAAGATCGTCATAGAGGACGAGGAGGGGCGCGCGCTGCCGCCTGACGAAGAAGGCGTCGTGGTCGTCGGGCCGCTGGATGAAGACGAGCGCCTCAGGCTCGCCTGTACAGCTTACGGCGGTGAGTCACGCTCGCCTGTACAGCTTACGGCGGTGAGTCACGCTCGCCTGTACAGCTTACGGCGGTGAGTCACGCTCGCCTGTACAGCTTACGGCGGCGAGTCACGCTCGCCTGTACAGCTTACGGCGGTGAGTCTCTGCAGCGTGGGTAGCAGCGGGAAGAATTATAGTAGAAATTTACTTGTTGAATAAAAATGTCAATATTATTATTAAATAAAAATTCGATTTTTATTTATTAACTGAAAATTGAAATAAATATAACAAATAAAAATTGGAAATTATTTATTGAATAGAAATCGTAATTCACTAATAAAATTAAAAATGTAATTTTTTTAATAAAAATTTAATTTTATTACTAAATATAAATAGAAATTTATTTAGTTAATAAAAATCGAAGTTGACTTATTTATAAAAAAAATTTTCTTATATAATAAAATCGAAGCACACTTATTTAAAAATTGGCAGGATAAACTAAAAAAATATCGTTTCCATGTTTTGCTGCGAGCCTCGGGCAAGTTCTTCAGGGTTGCTGAGAAATGCTTTTGGTCGGAACGCGGTTTGTTCCAAAATTTCCTTAACCTTGATTTTGTTGCCCAAAATTAGGATCACTTCGCACAATAAATATATTTGTTCACTTTAATCACAATATTTTAGGTCTGTGATATTTAACACAAAATGAGATAGTTCGCGATGGCGATAAAATGATAATCACTTGAAGCTCTAATCCAAGTAAAATTGATGGCTGAGCCTCGCCATGGTTACTCTGATTCTGGACTCTGAATAAAAGGATAGAAATTGAGATCATTGTACTCTGTTATTGTGAGAATTGTAATTTGAAACGCATTGTAATTTGAATTCAGAATTTCTGATGTAGGTGACTTAAGATAGAGATATAATTAGGTGCTCTGATTAACGGCAGAAAGTGTCAACCTCCTTTGTTTGAAGCTTGAAACTTTGCTCACTCGAATTCAAATGATTGCACTCAATTATATTGCATTAACATATCAGTTTAGGGAGTATTGACCTGAATCTAATATTGATTCCCAGCATGAACCATATATTGTACATGAGAAATTTTTACGATATAATAGTTATTACCCCTAAGCATTACATATAACACAAATACATCTGTCCTCTGTCTGTCTGAAGCTCGATATTTTCCTTCTACAGGCATTTAAAATAAGACAGGACATTTATTTTAAATAAGTCTTCAATAACCTTGTCTAAGATTTAAGATGGAGGAAATGTTTCATAATGTCAAGAAAATGAGTCTGCAAGACCTCCGCTAGAGTCTAAGATGGAGGCTACGCCTTAAAATGGCAAGAAGTTTGCATCTACCACAACCAGCGTTGATGTTAAAGATGAAGAAAATGTTTTGAAATACCATCAATTAAAAAAACATTTTTTAAATTGATGCTCAATATGAAGAGAATGTTTTAAATGAAGAAAATGTTTTTATAAAGTATTTTCTCACCTCAACCTTCGCGCAGGCTGGCCAGAGCCACAGATCGCGTGGGCTGTGGAGCAGGAGGGGCAGGTGGAGCAGGTGGAGCAGCAGCGGCAGGAGGAGGCGCGTCTGGAGCGCACCGCGGCAGGCGGGTGGAGTAGAGCCGTGACGGTTGCCCGCCTCACCCGCCTGCACGCAGCCGCAACCTTCGCCTGTCACGTCTACAACAACCGCCTGAGTCAGCCTAAAGTCACCATCGTCAGGCTAAACATGAACTGTGAGTGCGGGGAGTGGTGAGAGTGGAGGGAGTGGAGGGTGTGGTGAATAGCGGAAGTGGTGCAATGCAGGAGTGGTGAATAGTGGCAGTGGTGAATTGCAGGAGTGGTGTGTGGCAGGAGTGGTGTGTGGCAGGAGTGGTGTGTGGCAGGAGTGGTGTGTGGCAGGAGTGGTGTGTGGCAGGATGTGGTGTGTGGCAGGAGTGGTGTGAGTGGCTAAATACGTACACATTTTCTGAAATTTCGTGTAAACAAACAAAATTTATCACAATTTGTCGAAAAGTTAGTTCTGCTACAACTGTTTCAAGAATTTATTTTGGAATTACACTTATTTAATTAACAGCTGCACATTTTTAGATGTGAAAAAGCTGCACGAGAGCAAGAAATGTTCACGCGAATGAAAACAAACACAAACGACGAATTAGAGAACGCAGATTTTTCTTACTTTTTAGGTATCACTGCATGCAAATTCCAAAAGAATTTAAACCCATAATCAATATTCACAGCATATTCATCATTATACGGTCACGGAATTTTTCCTTTCTATTAGAAAAACAACGATGCAAAAAAATTCCTAGTGCTCAAAAACGGTTCAACCGAAAATAAATGTCTCAGATTTCGGTGCCTCTATTAGAACTACTATTTAAAATTCACTTCTCTTGAGTTGCTTCATGTGTCAGCTGTATAACAGGAATCGACAAAATAACGAAACATTTCACTGGATGTCACGGCTCGAGAATAGCAAACTTCTCTCATGGCAGCTCGCATTCTGCCAAATTCTGTTGGAGTGACGATGAAAGAGTGCGGCGTGAAGCCGATCTAGGGCGATTTATCTACCGTGCAGCGATGTCGGTATAGTCGAAGAAGGTTGTCTCTGTAATGAATTTAAGCATGGTTATTCTCCAATGTTTGTGTCGCCATGAAATTTCTAGGATCGTTACCTACTGTAAGTCAGTAACATATATATACTGGGCTTTAATTTATATAAAAGGTTAATGCTCTGACAAGAGACGTATAACTTGAGATTTTCAGCCTTATATTTGTTTTATTTATGGGCACATAAACAAAAAATACTTAGTCTAAACGTAAAGCTTTCTAATTATGGTAGAAAAATGTACAAATCTGAGCTAGAGGTCACGCACTGCATGTACATCAGAAACTGAAAAAAAAACAGAAACAATAGCCTCTACCTGTCTTTTCTTGAGATAAAATCCGAAACATATTGCTGCAGTGTTGCGTAGTGAAACAGTAAAACCCGTTTAAATGAGTGATAATTAAAATGGCGGTTGCGCATTTAATAATCTTTAAGGAGCTCACAATTTTTTTTTGGCTGAATGTGTCGGTCAATTAATTTCACGTATAAATCAACTACACTGGAAATTTGAACGCCCATTTTTTTAGCCATTCATATTTTATTTAGATTTTTATCAAGATTTTATTTAGATTTTAGATTGCATTTAAATTTTTACCAAGATAAAGATTTTATTTAGATTTTTACCAAATTTCTGCATATAGAGGTTTATTTATATTCTTAATCAAGGCAAACATCAAGATTCAGACGCGAGTGCTTTATTAACGCGTGTCTGCTCTCGTAACGACTAGCAATCGAACTCCGTAAGCGATCGCGGCAGCAACTTTAACAGTAAAGCGGGCATTGCACGTCCACAGTCGTGGCCAAAGTTCAAATTGAAGGCACAATTTAAAAGACGTACAAATTTTTGTCACGATTCTAAAATACTTTTGATAGAAAGCTGGAAATTAAGGTGTGAATTTTTACTTTTTAAAACGTTGCTTGCGATTTTATTTTTGTATTTGATAAACAAATTGTATTATGCTCGAAACCTGGCCATTTTTCGGTGTAAAATCTTCTGTTCTTTTTCTAGCCGCCATGCATGGATCACGCGAGTGCTTTTAGAAGTTCAGAGAGTCGAGTGAAACGCAATTTAAATGCAAACTCTGAGAGTATTTGACGCGATGAAAGTCTTTCTTAGAGGTTATAAAACAAACGATGTAATTAGTTTGTAGCCAAGAAGGATTTGCTCGCGCCACTCGTAGCACGCAGTACAAACGCAAGGCAAAATAAACGCTTCCCGCGTTCAAGAAGCATCTGTTTTGTTCTATAAAATGAATATGAAGTAAAAATACGGAAATAATTTAATTGAACGCCAGCACTAATTAGATTGAACAGGTATTGTCTTCAAAAATCCACGTTTGACTGAAGACTAATTGATTTATTTTGAGTAAAACATCCTTAGCCATTTGAATGATTTATCATATCCTCGTACTGATAAATTAGCTGAAATCACTCAATGGTGGTTAACATTCGTCGGTACGGATAAATGAACGGTTCCTACTCGATGGTTGTAACGCGGGTAATGGTTGCTAACGCAGTTAATGGTTGGTAACGGAACTAATGGTTGGTATGAGTCTTGGACGCAGCGTATTACCTGCCTATAACTGAAGACTATCAGCGTTGAACGTTGTTACAGCGACATATGACAATGTCGCTCAGAGATCACATCTCTTGCTCATCTTGCTTGTGGGCAATGATGGCACTGGCGCAGCTTTATTAATGCATTCCTATGACCGCAGTAACCCGCGTATGCTCTCTTCCAGTCACTGCGTGCCAGCGTAAGGTTATTGCGTGCCTATAGGGCACATTTCACTTTGATATTCATGCGAACACATTTCATGCTTCGATGATCCTACTTGCATCGAAGTACAAAAATGAGAAGAGATCTTGGCATCTTCAACTTCAAACTTCCAATGGAGACCTCATGGAAACGCATGGGCAAGCTCTGAACAAATATTTAGGAAAGATTTACAGGATTATTCTTGATAATTGCTCGATTAGTATCTTTGTTTCATTAAAACTAGGATCCTATAGCTGAACAAACAGGGTTTCGCTGAATTAAGTCAAATTTAATTTTGTATTTCATTAGGGTTTGAAATTCGTAGTAGATTAACATACATTTCGATGAAAAGATAAAACTTTTTCAGTTAACCCGTTTCAGTGTCGTGCGTATAGTGGCAGATTCAATATGCATTTAAATCACGGTCCCAGTAAAATACTTTATTGCACAAGACGTTTAATTTACAGTAAAAGTTTTCTTCACAGACGAGACTTTAGCACAACAACTGGGCATCTACTAATATCAGACCGAGGGACAAGCTTATCGAACTACAAGATGCTGGTTTTACGGCCGCGTTCCTACTGCTACCTTTTCCTATTCGCAATTTCCTAGCACGGTGCCAGTACTCTCTAAAACATTCTTACAATTCTACAATCCAAACATTCTAACACTCATTCCAACTTGTCAACACATTTATTAAGTAAAAGCCTAATACCTAACAATAAAATAACGTTTAATTTAAGACCTCTACATCAGAAGATAGCAATATATAGTGATTAATTTATGAAGACAAATCCTGGAATTACGCTAAAAGTCAATAAACTTAGAAACGGAAAGTTTCTCAACGAAGTAAAGCTTTTCGGTTGGCCTGCAATGCCTCCAAACTTTTGACTTTAACGAAACGAGCGAACAATTTGCGGCAAGTTGAGTCGGACACGATGGTGCCGCAGCCTCTTGCTTGCCAGGCCTTCCTAACAGGAACAAACAGATTCGATCTTGGCAATCCTTTTTAGCAGGAGTCAACAGATTTAATTTTCGCAATCCTCTTTAACAACAGTCAACAGATTCGATCTTGGCAATCCTTTTTAGCAGGAGTCAACAGATTCAATCTTCGCCATCCTTTTTAGCAGGAATCATCAGACTTGATTTTAGCAATCCTTTTTAGCAGGAGTCAACAGATTTGATCTTCGCGATCCTTTCTTGCCTGACCCAACAGATTAGATCTTCGCAATCCTTTCTAACAAAAGTCAACAGATTTGATCTTAGCAAGCCTTTCTATTAGTACCCAACAGATTTGATCTTATCAATGCTTCCTATCAGGACCCACATATTAGGTCGTTTTGCTGTTCTCTGGGAACTCCAACAATAACAAAAGAGATAACCGCTGCTGAGCTTTTCTGACAGGAACGGCAGCTCAGGTCGTCGGCTCGAAATGCTATCATAAAGCAATAAACCAAGGAATTAAATGTCAAGAAAACATAATTCTAACCATTCCTTTGGACATAATTTTATTATTATTAAATTCTATCGCTTTGATTCAATATAGAGACGGATATCATCCTACGACGATGGAAAATATCACTAAGAAGCAGTGCGTTAGGTTATCATTTCGCCCAAATATGAGACTGCAAAGAAGAATTACATCCTTGTTGTCGTTTTCAAATCATATTGTCAAAACTCATGAATAATTATGATATTCGTGAAATTTTACCACCTACCGAATTTTAAATTCTAGAGTAGCTTGTCAATAGTTTGTACAAGGCATTTATTACACTCGTCGAAGAACAGGAGCTTGATAAGCAGATTGATAAGTAACGTAAATTATAAATTATCTATACATACAGATTAAAGATGAGTGAGCTGAGCTTCAGCCTCCCTCAGCAGGCCTTTGGAGCTATATAGTTGTTTCTTCTTGTGTATGAAATACACAAATTGTTCAAGTTGGTCCTCCCTGAAGATGAAAGTATCAAGTTTACTCGAAATACTCATAAGAACTAAACACTAAAAATTTCGTCAGAAAAACGTGCGACGGAAATCTATCATTTCCGGCTACAATTGTGACGGTTTAACTCATCAATTATTTTCCATCCAGTACTGTTCAAAACAAGAAACTCATGTCACTGCTGGCATGCTGGACAAGAACCTTCGATTTTTGAAGTCGTCATTTTGTGCGGTCCATTTCTGAGACTCTGATGAGATTCAAGTAAAGTGTAGAATCAAAAACAGAAACCAGAAGAATCGAAAAATCAGAAACCAGTCATACCAGATGACTACAGGACTGGGCACCATGTCGCGCCACTCGCAATACTTAGGAATGCATGCAATAATTCATGCAGCGCACTTCACAAAATTTCTGGCCTCGAAATTCA